TTTGATCCTAACCATTATGAGGGTTCTTTTATCTGACAGCATTTGAGTTATGTTTTCTGAGTTAGGAATTTACATCTCTAAACTGCTATAAAAGTCAATATAAGCTACCAGTGCCTCTTACAGAGAGAGTAATCAAACTGCTTTCTTAAAGATATTTAACATTTAGATTTCTGAAGTCAGACCAGCTTCATCACAGCCTTCAGAAGAAAGTCCCAAGTGCTATTACTGTTATTAGTGAAATGCTCTCTTCCAACTAAATAATGAGTTCTGGTTACTTTGACCCCTAATTGAAGCTCGGTGTTTTAGCCTAATGCTTTTAAACTAATCAAAATCACCTTCCCTCTCCATGCTGGTGGGCTTTGTTCATGCGGGATTGCAATAACAATGTGAATGATTTTACAGATTTTATTCCACTTCAGTGATTTATTACAAGTTCAGGGAGCTCTGGAGCTGGCAGCTCATGGGTCAGAGCGTGGGAGAGCCCCAAAGCTGGGCACCAAAATGGCAAGTTTGCCTGTGGTTGTGTTAAATAAATAAAGTTGTTGCTCATACGCAGCTGATAAATATAGAAACTTTGGAAAATGGGTTTGAAATACCGGGCTGCAGCTACGAGATTCCTTTGGTTGTCTTAAAAATTAGTCTTTATGTTAATGCATATTGCATAAAGTTGTTGTATGGGTAAAATAAAAACACTTTAACTTCTAGGCACTGGGTTAACTGGTGTGTTCCACGGGTCTAAACATACAACCCAAAATTTGGTGGTGTTTCACTCTTTGGCAGGCTTAATCCCCCACTGGTTTTTAAAGATGCTGAATTCAGCTGCACGTGGAGACCCTGCAGAGCTGCAGCCCTCACCTTTAGCTCAGTGTAGAGGACACTTCTGCTCCAATGCCAATATATATTTCTGCTTTTCAGACTGATATTTTTTTTTCTCCCTCTGCTTTCTACATCTGAGAGCTAGTGGCAGTGCAGGTCGCTGCTGCTAGATTTCAAATTGGAATTACCAATGAAAAACACTTTGTCCAGTGTCTCCTTTTATGTAAAGTTTTTATTTATTTGTGGGAAATCTGAAATCATCTAGATTTTCATAAAAAACTTGGTGAAGGGTTGTTTTCCCCAGAGCTGAGGATGTGTGATATTTTCAGACAGGGAGTGAGGAGCATTAAACAAGAATAGGAGTTGGGATGAGTCCTTCTCCATTTAGCATGTAGCTCCTAAGCATGGTTAATTTGGTAAAGATGGTCCATTTCATGAAAAAAAAAAAGGCATATAACCTTATATATCAAGTATTTTATGAGATTTTTGGAGAAAAGACATCTTTTTATGTAGTGACACTATAATGGCACTTGTGCAGGTAGTGTGGGACATAGACACATCAACAATCCATATTTTAACACACTAGTGGATTTAAAATATACTGTGGACTTTTTCCCCACAGTTTGTGGACAAATCATTAATAAAATTAATATCAGGTTAATCTAGATGAAAGGTGTTTTCAATTATTTTTCCCCATGACTTGGGATTGAAGGCTCACATCCAGTGTGTCCCACGGATAACATTTTTGTGTTGCGATATTGGCTCTATAAATAAACGTGAAACATTGCAGTAGCAAACATCACGTTTATTTCTTTTTTTGAAGTGCCTACAGTGTGTCATTACAGATGGATTGATAGGCTTGATAACATTGAACTTTTGTCAGACCTAACGTGGCAGACTTGTTACATGTCAGAAATTTTCTGTCATTTTTCTCACTATTCAAAAGGCAAAATATATTTGCAACCTTGAGTGACATTGAATATGGAAAGCAGACAGAAATTATTTATCATTTGACAGAATTGTTTTTGTTGGGTTTATTTTTTGTGTGGTTTTGGTTGTCTTTTTTTTTCTTTCCAGTGGCAAAGCTGTAATTGGATTTTAAAACCCTGACTACTCTGTTTTAGGAATATGGAACAGCTGACTGTGGCTTGTAAGAGGTGTATGAACCATCCTCTTACAGATGTAAAACACATTCTTTATTACTTCACATTCAGATCATTTATTTCTGTGCTTCTTGGACTGAGGCAACATCTGACCTTTTATTATGGAGTTGCAGAAAACAACTTGGCAGGGTGCAGGCAATGGAGAAGGTCTTGTACAAGAGACAGGACAGTGAAGGATGTGGATGCTTAGAGAGCAAATTTTTGTGGAATTTAACCATAAACTAGTGTAATTTATACCTATTGAGTGTATTCCTTCAAATATAAGTGCTCTGTAATAGGGATAAAGCTGTATCAAAAAGCTTATTTTGGTGTCTTAATTCAGAAATTAAATTATGGTTTCTTTTATCATGATTAACTTTAAACAAGGTATTTGTTTTAAAGAGACATGAAAATTAAAAGTCAGGTTTTGTGTGTATAATAGAAAAAACAATGGGTTTCTGGTGTAAAAATAAAGCAGCAAAGAAATGGATAAAAACATTTCATCAGAGGATGAAAACAAGTATTAAGGCAGAGGCAAGGAAATCCTGGACAGAGCATTAAGAAGATAGAGTTGGAAGAAGTAGAAAATGAGTTCTGAGTCATACAGCACCAATAGTTTCATAGCTGGACCATGGCATTTTATGCTGAACAAGAAAGGAGAAGATTTCTGATTGCTAATAGACCTGCAATCAAAGGAGAAACATTCTATATATTAGTATGCAACAGCACTATACACTTCCAAATGGATTATAGCCTAGTGAAATCAAGAGGATAATGATTAGCTCCTCAGCTAGAAAGGTTTCCTTCCAATATTTTGGTTCAAAATATAGACACTGGTGTTAATAAATTGGGCTGTATATCGCAGACCATCTCATTTAGTCAATGTTTTATGCTGGGAGATCATGTAGGTTTGTGGGTGCTATACACGGTGTGGAAGAATAAAGAGGCTCTTCCCTTTATTTTGTTTAAAGAAAATAAAAAGAGCAAGGGACTTTATTAGTTTTCAATACTGTGGGTATAAATAGAAGTCGAAGCTGTGGAGCAGGGTTATTATGTGGCTCATTACTGTTTATTACCATGAGGCACATCAAGATGTCTGCGAGTGGAGGGGGTGAGGGGGGGGTAAATCACTTGGAACACGCCTGTTTGTCGCTCTCCTGCGCGGCGCTGGGAGCGTCGTTCCTCCTTCCAGTGCTTTGAGGAATATGTCCAAAATCTGTCGCTTGTCATATGTTCTCTCCGTCTCTTGCCGAGGAGAAGCGAACAGACGCACGTCTTATTTTGGTACCATTTGGTTTTGCATTTTGGAGTTGAGCAGAGTGGGGGGGAGAGAGTGTTTTTCCTCGGAAAAGTTTCCGTCTAAATTGCGTCCCCATGAAATTGAGAAGAGCCTTGTTGACTTCACGCGAGTTAGCGCTCGGTTTGTTGTGTAGCTCTGAGATAAGTGAATTATAAGTGAGTTTTACTTTATTTTTTTATGTAGCCTGTCAGTGTTTTTTAGTATCACTGAGAACAAAGAAGTTTTCGTTGTGTCAGTCGTTGCACCGAGTCTAAAGGTGGTTCTAGTGAGTTCGTGCCTCTTCAGCTGGACTTTAACAAATATTTGTGTTTCATGACACACTTTTCTTTTAGCTTTTTAACAGTCTGAAACCTCCTCAAAAATTTCTTTTAGCCTGTGGCTTTTAGCCGGGATCAGAAATGAGCCAGTAAAGTGAAGCTCGAGCTCATCAAAGAGCTAACAAACCTTGGTAAATCTTAGTCTTTAACATCGAAGGTTTGCAGTTGAAAGGCTTTCACCTCTCCTGCATGAATGTGAAATTCTTTTTTTTGATTTGTCTTCGCAAACTAATTAAATGGGGTTTTTTTAAAGCCTCATTTCCCCATTGGGAAAGTGGAGTGCTGCTAATATGAAGTAACTGCCTGTGGTTTTTACAGTCATGCTGATGCTTATCTTCTGTTGCTTAATCTTCCTCCTCCTGATTTTCATTCTCTCTAACCTGAATGCAATGTGTGATCCCAACCAGTGCCAAAGGCCTTGTGGATGAGAGATCTGGCACCTGCGACCTCATCCTGGGTCTGATGATTTCTTTGGAATTCCATATATAGGGTACATAAATACAGTGCTAAAAAGCATATGTCTTTGCTATTGATTTTTCTCTGCCACAGGCTGCCTATTTACTTATTTCTTTTTTCCATGCTGTTGTTTAATGTTCTTTATTTATAATGGGTAAGGTTCTATTTTGCATGCAGGCAAACAGTAACTTATCAGGTGAATAAGGTGTGTAGATACCAGTCCCTGACAGAAAGCAGGACCTTAATTGATTTAAAATACTACCCTATTTCAGAGGTTTCTCATCTCTGCTATGACTGCTGGAAGCAACATAATACACAAGTGAGGCTGCTGGAAGTGACTGTATAAAGGTATTTCCTGATGTTGCTGCACAGAGGTGGAATTTGGTGAATTGGGTAGAACCTGCAGCCAGAGCCGGGTGGACTCTGCACTCAGGCTGTGCAGAAGAGGAGCAGGAAAATCCCACCCTTGCAACTCTTAGAATCATAAAATTGTTTAGGTTAAAAAGACCATTAAGACCATCAAGTCCAGCCATTCCCCCAGCACTGCTAAGCCCATCACTGCTAAGCCCACTTGTGTCCCCAAGTGCCACATCTACTAATGGTTGGGGTCGATGATCTTACAGGTGTTTTCCAACTGTAATGATTCTGTGATACTTGCCTCTTAAATCCCTCCAGGGATGGTGACTCCATCACTTCGCTGGGCAACCTGAGAGCTTGACAACCCTTTCCATGAAGAAATGTTTCCTAATATCCAATCCAGACTTCCCCTGGCACAACTTGGTTGGTCTGGGGGACCCAGCAACACATCTGGGAGTTGCTGCTCCTGGGGTTGCTTCGAGGTCCTTATCTGTACATCCCAGTAACTGTCTCATTTTGTCACATTGGAATTGTACACAACTGTCCTCAAATCCCCAGGAAAAATGGTCGATGCCCACACCTTACTGACTGCTGTGTCCTTTCTTCTGGCAGATGTCAACGAGTGCACCGCGGAGAACGGGGGCTGTCAGGACCAGTGCTGCAACACCGTCGGCAGCTACCACTGCAAGTGTCCAGCTGGCCAGAAACTGGAGGAAGATGGAAAATCATGTGGAGGTAATGTTTTGTGCTCTGTCTCACTGCTATTAAGGAATCAGACAAGATGTTGGTAAGGAGAAGGGAATGCTGGCTTTTATGTGGCGCCAGCCGAAGAACGTGTGCTTGGAGTTGTCGAGAGTGCAGATCTTCTCATGCCTGGATTATGAAGATGTAACTGTAAGAACACTTCAAAGGGTTGGGGGTTTGTTTTATTTTGTTGAAAAAAACGTTATCACTTAACCTGGATTGGCTGTGCCATGTTCTGATTATGGGATTTCCATCATCAATTTGAAAACTTGAAGAAAGTGTATACATTTGATAATATTTCATCTGCCTCTAAAGCAAAATGGTCCTTATCAGAAAATACACATACATTTCACATTTCAATCACAATTCCACAGCTAGAGATTAACCGAATAAAAAAGGATTTAAAACCACATGCTATGTAAACCCATTTGTCTTTTTCCTAAGGGAAATATAAGTCTAGTTAGTGCATTATAGGGTAAAATTTGTTCTTATGCAAAAGCTCGACGTTGTGCAGAAGGAAGACATCACATAAGCTTGTGTTAGAACACATAATGGATTATGGTCAGTCTTCTGACTGGTAAACAGAGCAGGTGTAAACAAGCCCAGCTGATGTGTTGACCTACAGTCACTACATTTTGTGCAGCATCAGATGCTGCAAAAGGCAGAGGAGGTCAGGTGAGGTGTAAGGTACCCAAAGTGTAATGGATTGCAGGCCAGAGCAGTTCCTTCCTCCTGAGCTCTCCCCTGACACAGGTAATGAGTGTGTGCTGCCATATGATCTCAAGAGCTCTGCTGCGTGCCTGGATTCCACCCTCTGCTGCATTTCATTGCTGCCATAACTGCACCATTGGTGGTTTTTTTATTATCTCAGGGTAGGTTTTCATGAATTGTATTATCATCTTTTCACAAGAAACTGTCTTCTCTGGCTTTTCCTGTTGCACAGTGTCTGACAAATTCACTTCTTCCAGGATTTCCTCTTACCATTGTCCAACTCCTTTTTAAGATTAAATACAGATACAAAGCACTGTATTTCTTGCTTGTCATATACTTTATCCTAACTTTATAATTGATTTGGCTGAACTTCTTTTTTTCACTAAAAGACGATAGAATTATTTTCTACGGCAACCTATCACTTGAGATCCACCTTGAGAGTGTAAACAAGCTGTAGATGATTATTTTATTTTGATTGAAGCATTTTGTTATGATCCTCCATGCTTTCAGTTTGCCCTTTTGAGACCTCAGCCCAGGAGTACCATGTGTGATTCACAGATTCCTGCTACTTCACCTCAGACTGCTCCTACCTCTTTTGGGGACTGAATGGTAATATGCCCATGAACCAGTGTACAGATCTGTATTTTGATAACTACTTAACTGATTTCAAGTCTGCATAAAAGTTGTCCAAACCCCAAGTTTTTGAAAGTAGAGGTCCTACTCATTGTAATCCTAATTTTCTTGGCATGCAAGAGTCCTTTGTGATTTAAAATAGTTAATTAAATTACTCTTCCTTCTGCATAATTCATTTATTCTTAAAATATACTTTAAATTCTAGCATTTTGACATGCTTTAAAAACTCAAACAGAGCTTAAGGTATTTGATTCTTGTACTGTATTTTATCTGACCGAGAATTGCAGGAGAAGATATTAGCTGTTTTGAAGCCACTTTTTTAAATATTTAGACTAAAATGGAAACATAATGAACTGGAAAGGCTCAAGTCATAGAACAAAGTGAACGTAGTGGTGACACTAAATACACCTGACCTTTTGCAGAGGTGATAATACAAGGAGCACATGACTGTACTGACCTGCAGAAAGACCAGCTTTGGCCAACTTCTGACCATCAGATGTTACAATACGAGTAACTTAGTGGTTGATTACAGCATGAGGGGAAAGTGAGCTTCCAAACAAAACTGCCTGTGCTGCTGGAAGGTCTTTTAGGACACGCCAGTGAAATGGTGTTTTATTGATGCCTCTGCATTGCTCAAAGGAGTCATTTTGCAGATGGGAGTAAAACAGTTTCTCATTCAGGTTAACCAGAGTTTTTGGAGGAATAAGGCTTATTGTTACATTCTTTCTGCCTTTATAGCATCATTGTGCTTTGTGTTACCCCTCAGTCTAAACTCCAGTGTTAAATAGGTGTTCACTATTGTTCTGCTCCCATTATTTGTCTCATGGTTGGTTTTATTTCACTGGTGACTGAAATGATCGATTGGTGTACAGGGGTTTTTATAAACCAAGGTACAAATAAGGTGCATTGTTAGAAAAGCAGCATGGAAGTAGCACAGATTTTATTCAGCAAGTCATTGTTAGTGGAAAGATTGATCGTGTTTTTCAGAAACAAAATAGAGTATCCTTCTGACAAAAGGGAAAGATGTTGTCAGGAAATAACTGTTGGGTTTTTTAAAATATTTTTTAGCTGTTTGTAGCTGTTTAATGCTAAGGAAGGGAATCCAACAACATAAAGAAGTGTACTGCTGGTTTGATCAATCATTGCTGGAGGGGTTGTGAGCAATTTTTTTTGGAGACCCTAAAGCCTAATTTCACAGCTAGAATGAGCTGAGGATGCTCAACATCCCCACCTTCTAGTGTGTCAAAGGAGTGTGCAAGACACAAGGCTCCATGAATATGCACAAGACAACAGAATATAATAACTGAGATAATCTTAAAATAGTTATTGCTCTCAGCTTTGACTAAACCTTCCCTTCCTCAGGTGGTTCTGTGGCTGCTTGGAGCCACGTGGGGAAGGGGATTGAGCAACACAGCCTGGGACACCCCACACTTTGGGGTCCATGCTGCTCCTGCTGAGGGATCTTTCCTAAATAACTGGGGGCTCTTATGGCAGGATACATCATTCAGAGATGTGTGGTATGTAAAGTCTTACTTCACTTCAGTGAGGGATACTTGTACCAAGGGGCAGGTTGTGGTGAGGTGAAGGCATGTGCATCTCTAGAGAAATGCCAACCAGAGCTGTGACCTGATTAGCCTTTCAAAACTAATTATCTCCGTCTTGTACTGCAGCTTTCACTCTCCAGCCTTCATGCTCAGAACTTCAGTTTGCTTCTCTGACAGAGAAATATTTTCTGGCAGTTACTGGCACAGGCATTACAGATTGTGACAGAAAGCTCCTGCTTCCCTCCCGCTCTTCATGTGTCTGATGGAAATGAGTGATGAGAAGGGATTTGGATTTAAATCACTGCACAAATAATATGACAAATTAGGATTTGACATTTACTAGCGTATGACTGTTGGCCTGATGCTGTGCCCTGTGGATCTGTACTGGTGTGTGGTGTTTCAGGGACATTTCTCGTCAGGGTCTGTGAGTGGATTTGCTCAGAAAGCTGTAACATGGTCTGAGGAAGGCAGTGGAAATGTGTGTGTGTGCAATGCCTCCTTGTTTGTTAAGCAGAGGCACCACTGACAACCCATGGCAGTGAGATATGCTGTGAAATGTATAGACATTTAATATTTTATTCTAATGCGAAGCAGTTCTACTCAAGCATTGCAGAAGGCAGAACTGGTATTTTCTGAACATAAATACCATTTTAAATGGTAATTTTAAAGCTCAGTTGTTGGCACAAGTCCAGATCTGTAAGGGATGCTGAGGTTACAGCTACAAAAGCATGTTTTCACACATGAATAAGCTGCAGAAGTCAACTAGAAAAAAGGTCATGACCTTATGTTAACCTTCTTTGGCAAATTGTCATTTCTTATTTATGCTATTGCGCTCTCATCTGTCAAGGCAACTGAAGGAACTTAGAGGCAAGTGAAGTTCTGTGATTAACTGTTGATGAAAAGAAGCTTCTATTTTACTGATTAGAGTGATATTGCAATCGCAGTAACCCCGTCCCTGGGGGTTTCGGTCAAACCTCAGAGCCCTGGCAGGTTTCCTGACCTTTGCCAGAGGGACTTCAGGAGCAGCTGCTTCCACGGCCAGTGTGTGACTTTGCAGGGCCACTGCTGGTTACCCCAGTAATGGGAGAGTCACCAGTGTCACTGCTGGAGCCTGATCCCAGGATGGATGGGAACTCTCCAAACACTGTTGCCTCAGAAGAGTTAATAACTGGACTAAAACGAATACTGAGGGACTTATCTGAGAGCAAGGAAGTGTTTATTAAAGTGACCTCAGCGTATTATAAGTCGGTAAGGTTTGAGATATAACTTATTCTTGTTAAATTCTGGTTTTGTCAAAGAGAACAAATGTTAATTCTGCATTTGGACTGCTTTCCCTGCCCAACAAATCAATTTGCAGGCTTCTGCCATGTCCTGTGCTAAAACCTGAAGGACATAATACCATGCAGCTCTAGGGAATTGCCAAGGCATTTTTGATTCATTTATTTAATTTTTCTTAGAACAAGGGAGTTTAGTCCACTGGAGGGATTCAGGATGCTTTTGCATCGTTTTATCTCCGGAAGTTGCATTTGACTCAACACATAGTGTCAGCATGCTGTGACACAGGATCACTTCAACAGAAGGAGAACCAGGAAAATACATTTTACAAAAAGAAAAAATATACCAGTTCTTATTACAGCTGCAACAAATACCAAACTGCACGAACTCAGCTCTTAGGGCAGTCAGGTGAAGGTACTTCTACATTAGGTGTAGCCACCCCGACTTCTTTGTCTTTCCTTATTTCAAGACCTTGTCTTGAGAAAAGGAAATAAATCCAGTTGCAGGAATTTTATCACAATTATTTGTAGCTGAATTACTCTGCCCCCCCAATGTCCAGCTCAGAGAGTTAGGGCAACAGACAACTCCATCCATGACCTTAACTGACCCCGCGTGAACAATCTTGATAAGTAAGGTGTTTCAGCGTATTGGAATTTTACAGCAATTCTAAAAGGAAAAGAAAAAGAATAGGCAAAAGAAAAAGACTTTTGAGGGGAAAGAAGGTAAAACCTGATTTCTCATTTTTCCAATGCTGTGGTTAGTTGCTCTCAGGTATCCTGGGACTCCAGCTTTCGGGGCTAAGTCAGAAAATTCCAAGTATTTAAGTTT